AGCTTTGCTCCAGTTATTGTTTTTTTTTCTTACCAATTTTGTGCACGCGATTTCTCGGAAACGGCTCAGCTCGATTTTCATGAAACTTTCATGACTGATGGAACATCAATCAAACCTGATACATAATTTTTTGTTTTGATGACGTCACTTCCGGTTTTGATTTTTTCGCAATTAAGTAATTTTCAGAGGGTCACTTTGTTCCGCGAGTTTTCTCAAAAACGGCTTTAAAACTTGAGTTTTTCACCAGTGATAGAGCAATATATGTAGATGTGACATACGTATTTAATTTTTACCAAAAGTGTTGACGACGCTCTCTGTAGTCCGAAAAAGGGCATGTCGAGAATTTTAAAATTTCTAACACTTTTTCTTCGATATCTTTTCACATACAAATATTTCGTTAAGACATATAGGACAAAAGAAGTGTAGATTTACTTGCTCTTTCAAATGATATATCGAAAAAAGATGGCCCCTATAATTAAGGGCCAACAGGGGCCAACAGTTTTTCCTTCATATCTCAAAAAGTCTTGAGAATTTGTAATACGTCAAAGAAGCAAAGTTGTTCAAAATATTAAGCTCAATCTATCTGGTAGATCAAAAATCATCCCGGCAACATCACTTCCGGTCAAACCGGAAGAAGTACGAAAATGCATATTTTTGCCGTTCTTGACATATTTTTGGGTAACACATGTCACTGGAAGCATACAAACTTGATTTTCCGTCCGTCGACATCACTTCCCGTCGAACCGGAAGTAGCCAAAAATAGCTAATTTTTTCAGGTTTTGACGCAAAATTGAAATTATAAAGTCAATGGAGACAACTTAGCCTCATTGCGTTCTTTTGTTGACGTTACTTTGGTCAAAACAGCACGGAAGACCTACTCGTTGCTTTGCAACGAGCTTTGCTCTAGTTATTTTTAATTATTGTTTTTTTTTCTTACCGATTTCGTGCACGCGATTTCTCGGAAACGACTCGATCGATTTTCATGAAACTTTCAGTACTGATGGAACATCAATCAAACCTGATATATATTTTTGTATTTTTATGACGTCACTTCCGGTTTTGAGATTTCTGGGATTAAGTGATTTTCAGAGGGTCACATTCTCCAGCATTTTTCTCAGAAGTGCTTTTAGATAGAAACGTAAGATTTTCAGCGATGATAGAGCAACATTTGCTGATGTGACACACACCTTTCTTATTCTCCGGAAGTGCAGCACGTCGGCGCTCGCTATGGCTCGAAAAAAAACCTATCGGGAATTTAGAAATTTTTCACACATTTTTGGCTAAATCTTTTTAAACGTTAATATTTTGTAAAAACATATAGAACAAAAGTTGTAAAGAATCGCCAAAAGGGGCCAAAAAGTTTTTCCTTTATATCTCAAAAAGTATTGAGAATTTGTAATACGTCAAAGCAAAGTTGTTCAAAGCTTTGCTCTAGTTATTATTAATTATTGTCTTTTTTTTACTGATTTTGTGCACGCGAGTTCTCGAAAACGGCTCGCTTGATTTTCATGAAACTTTAGGACTGATAGAGCATGAAAAAAATTAGAAACGTATTTTTTTGTTTTTATGACATCACTTCCGGTTTTGAGATTTCCGCGTTTTAGTGATTTTTAGAGGGTTACTTTGTCCGGCAGTTTTCTGAAAAACCACTCAACACAGAAGCATGAGGGATGCTAGAGCAACCTTTGGAGAAGTGAATTTCGTATACCGTATAAGTGGAAATTTTAGCGAGACGCAAATTTAGCGATTTGTCCCCATAAACTGGTAATTTATTTTTAGCGAGATGTTATTTTCGCGATTTTAAAATGCATAATAAAGAAGCTATTACAAATTAAACACAATTAATTGTTAGCGATATTCAATTTTAGCGATCTCGGCACCCTCGCTAATAATGCCAAAATTAAATCCTCGCTAAAATTTCTACTTATACGGTATCACAACCACCGGAAGTACGAAGTGCCGACGCTCGCTATGGCCCGAAAATAGTCCTATCAAGAATTTCAAAATTTTAAACATCTTTTCTACGATAACTTTTTAACTAGAAATATTTTGTTAAAACATGTAGAACAAAAAAGTAAAGAATTCGAAGATCTTTCAAATGATAGCTCAAAAAAAAAGGGCTGGCCACTTAATTCAGGGGCCGAATGTTTTTCCTCTATATCTCAAAAAGTATTTAGAATTTGTAATACGTCAAAGAAGAAAAGTTGTTCGAAAATGTTCAATATTCAATGCTCTTGGAGTCGTCAAAATGCGTCCGGCGTCGTCACTTCCGGCCAAACCGGAAGTAGTCGGAAACGCGTTTTTTTGCCGTTCTTGACAAGTTTTTGGGTTACATATGTCTTTGGGAGCATAAAAAGTAATTTTTCGTCCCTCGTCGTCACTTCCGGTCAAACCGGAAGTGGCCAATAATGGCTTATATTGAAGGTTTTGATTCAAAATTGAAATTATAAAGTCACTGGAGACTACTTAGCTCATTGCTTTCTTTTGTTCCGTCACTTCCGGTCAAAATCGGACGGAAGACCTACTCGTTGCTTTGCAACGAGCTATGCTCTAGTTATTGTTTTTTTTTCTTACCGATTTTGTGCACTCGAGTTCTCGAAAACGGCTTGCTCGATTTTCATGAAACTTTTTTTTGTTTTGATGATGTCACTTCCGGTTTTGAGATTTCCGCGTTTTAGTGATTTTCAGAGGGTCACTTTGTCCGGCAGTTTTCTGAAAAACCACTGAACACAGAAGCATGAAATTTTCAGTGATGCTAAAGCGACCTTTGGAGAAGCGAATTTCGTATATCACAACCACCGGAAGTACGAATTGCCGACGCTCGCTATGGCCCGAAAATAGTCCTATCAATAATTTCAAAATTTTAAACACCTTTTCTGTGATAACTTTTTACCTAGAAATATTTTGTTAAAACATGAAGAACAAAAAAAGTATAGAAGTTGAAGGTCTTTCTAATGATACCTCGAAAAAAGGGCTGTATCCTTAAATCAGGGGCAGAGAGGGGCCGAATGTTTTTCCTTTATATCTCAAGAAGTATTTAGAATTTGTAATACGTCAAAGACGCAAATTTGTTAAAATGTAAGTTTAATCTACTGGAGTCGTCAAAATACGTCCGGCGTCGTCACTTCCGGCCAAACCGGAAGTAGTCGGAAAACACGATTTTATGCCGTTCTTGACAAGTTTTTGGGTTCCATATGTCTCTGGGAGCATAAAATTAATTTTTCCATCCGTTGTCGTCACTTCTGGTCAAACCGGAAGTAGCAAAAAATGGCTTATTTTGAAAGTTTTAATGCAAAACTGAAATTATAAAGTCACCGGAGAGTCACCTAGCTCATAGCTTTCTCTTGTTCTGTCACCTAGCTCAGCACTTCCGGTCAAAACCGGACGGAAGACCTACTCGTTGTATTGCAACGAGCTTTGCTCTAGTTTTCTTCATATTTTTAGTCCAATATCGGTGAAACCTTAGGGGACTATAGGTTTCCTCTTAATATATCTGTCTGTCGAGCTGCGAGTGTGTCCAACTAGTTCTCACCATCTTAAACTACTTTAGTATAATCAGCAAAGACAGCTGATAATACATTTGTCAGAGTGTTTGTTATGTAAGATTTTGTAATACATGTATTAAACAAATATATCAGTACACTAAAAATGGTCTGAATAATGTAATGTTTAAAGGCAAGTCCTGTAATTTGGTTGAGGCATATATAGATAAATTATTTTACGAAATAGAAATCAACAGAAACTGTTGTGTGCTCAAGACACTTCAAGTCAGATGATTTTAAATGGACCCCAGTCAGAAAGACGCTAGAATCCAGAGAGTATTCCATCTGTGTTTAATTAGGCCAAGGAGACGACACCCAGGAGACCGATCCTGAAGCACCCTCTCCCAGAGAAACGACAGAAATTGGAAGACCAGGCAGATCATCTTGAACCCTTACCTGCAGCACCTGAATTTGAAGAATGGTAAACAAAACTGTCAATTAATAAGCAAAGCATATAGATGTATTTATACAAAAATTAAATAAATTTCTCAAACTTTTCACAATCTGCAGGTATATTGTAAGTATTTGTAAAATGAAAGTATCACAAATGTTTATATGGCAACTTTCCTGATATGGTGATTTTTGAAAAAAGAAATGCATGAGAAAATAACAACGGTATGCAATGTTTATCTTCATTTTAAAAATTAATGTATGTGCATATTGTTGAAACTACTATCACTTGGTTAATTAGTTGATTTTAAGATTTTTTGTAGTTGCTCTGCTGGACAGACTGATGCTGGATCATCATTTGAGAATTTTAAATCATTTTCAAAAGATTATTCAATTGACAAGCTGTGAATAAAATTACTCGGTTTGCAATTGCAATATTGAATTTTGGATGATTTAATTAAACATCAGATTTGCTGGACAACATGAGAAGATGCAGGATCATCTTGATTGTATTCCAGAAAACTGATATGTAAGTAAATAACATTGTACAACAGCATAGTTCAAGAAAATCTGCAAGACGTATGAAAATTTATTTCAGCTGTCCCTTGATGGAGCCCTGTGATGTATCCGACAAAAAAAATCCAGATCCTAGAACATTTGTTAAAGGAAAAAGATCAAGAAATTGGGAAACTGCAACAAAAACTAGAGATTGAAAAATTTGGAATTCAAAAATTATCCAAAGATGATTCTATGATCGTGTTTTACACAGGCTTCATATCATTTGCCATATTTTCAGCTTTTTTGATTTTATTAAACCTGCTGCTTATTCAATGACTAGCTATTATTACAAAATGTCAGCAAACCCAAACTCAAACATTCTTGAAAGACAAAGAAATTTGTTGTTAATAGATGAACTTTTTATGATTTTGTGCCGTTTAAAATGTGGGCTTCTATGTTTAATTGTCATTTATCAACAGTCAGCAGAAAAAGTATTACTGGACAAATTTCTTGTAATTTGCTTTGGGTAGCATTAACATTTGGCCTTCACGAGAACAAATTTACAGGAAAATGCCAGACTGCTTTAAATGTTTGTACCCAAGTACATACAATATCATTGACTGTACAGAAATCAAAACAGAGCGGCCCTCATCACTTGTTCTTGGATCAAAGTTTTATTCTGCATACAAAAGCTCTCATACTTGGAAAGGGCTAGTGGGTATTGCTCCTCATGGTGCCTTTACCTTTGTGTCAAGCCTTTATACTGGGTGTATTTCAGATGTAAAAATTACTAAACTGTGTGGTCTCATTGATTTGCTAGAGAGGGGGGACTCTGTTATGGCTGATAAGGGTTTTACCCTACAGAAGGTCTTAGAAGGAACAGGGATTGATGTTAACACACCACCATTTCTAATGAGCCAGGGACAATTCAGTGCCCAAGAGGTAGAAGAAACTCAGACAATTGCCAGACTTAGAATTCATATTGAGCGGCATATATGGAAAAGAGTTAAAGAATTTCATTTGTTTGATGGTATTATACCTCTTAGTATGGTAGGATCAATCAACCAGCTTTGGACAGTAGCAAATATGCTTACTTTGTTTAGAGGTCCCCTTGTTAAAGACTGGTCATAGAAAGATTATATAACATTGTCAACATTGACTGCATAAATTTACATACCTGTTGCATTGAAATCTAACATCAGAAAATGTGTTTGTTTTCTTGGTAATTTTTCAATTTTTTTTTTTATTGGATATTTCATTTTTGGCAAGTTTTTTCATCACAACAGGAAAAAATTTACTGAAGATTATAAGAAGTTATTGTTCTTTCAATTAAATCCAATTATTTTTTGATTTATTTTCCTCAACAGCTTCCTTATTATTTAGCTTTTTAACTGATATTGGGAATTAACTTTTGAAGAAAAACAAACAACTAGCAACATTTACAAGATTCTATTCAAATTAAATAGTGATAAAAGAAGAAAGCATCTAGTTTAGCTTTCATGTCCAACCAAACATCCTGATCAAATTTCACAAGCACCAGGTGGGACTCTTCCTGTGTCCACACAAAAGTGACACCACTCTTGTCCCGTTACAGCCATCTGCATCATGATTTGATAGAAATACTTGTGGGTCTCTTTTAAGTCTGTATCCATTCTCATCCTTTTTCAAGATGCAATCTGGCAGCTGATTTATTGGACACTTAATTTCGAGTAATCCATATCCTGGGTATGTGCCATGTCTGTGGCAGTGACGTTTTTGCAATATCTCGAGGGACTGATTTCATATTTGTTGTTTTCATATGAGCTAGGCAATGAGTAGGCCGGTAATGTGCCCACATGAGGCAGATAATCCAATGGCACATGAACATTTGCTGGAATCTCGCTCATAAGTAGGCCCTTCTTTCAAAACTATCTGGAATTAATAAAACACTTTATATTGTATCAGCTCAAATATCCTTTACGACGTAAAAAAATAATAATTTTTCATTTATTTACACTCTATATTCATAATTATAGGTTACTATAGCATTCGATTCATTTCACAGTACATTTTCTAAGCTTGGAAAAGAAGACAATAGCAGTAGTAATAATAATGTGTACATGTGATAAATCTTTTTGACATAATTAACAGTCATTATGTAATAAATAGATGTATATGCACATGCAGGTATAGCTCATTTTGGATGTACATTGCCATAAAGGGCTTTCACCTCACAACAAACAAAAGCTTATACTCAACCCTATGGCAGTACTACACTACAGGGGGGGTGTTGCTAAAACGCGGAACGGAAAACGGAACGGAACGGAAAACGGAATATATTATTTTGGATTAAATTACTTAAAATACACAAATTTATCATAAACGATATATCTTGTACACATTCAATCCCCCACTATCAAATACAAGTTGATTTTGTCATGCTCAGTCTCTTATTTACAAAAGTCGCTAACATAGCATTCACATAGAATCGAATTTGAAAAGGGAGGGGGGGGGGGTAAACGAATTTGAAAAGTATTTGACAAGCAAACAACATAAAAAGAAGACAATTGTTTGATTCGGGAGGGAGGTAAAACACAAAAAGAAAACAATTGTTTAATTCGGGAGGGGTATACATTCCAACTCCCAACATCTTTCAGTACTATTTTTTACGCTAACTTACTACATTTATTATATTCACAAAAAGGGTGAGAATAGGAACTTGAACGAACATTTCCGTAGTAAAAAGGTTATGATGGGGGGGGGGCAAATATTTGATATCTAAATGAACCATGGAAAGGGAAAACAATGTTTAAAAAAAAAGATTACATTTAGGGCAAACCTTTACGGCAAGCTCGAGTAAACTTCTCTTATACACACTGGTCGTTAAAATTTTATTCAAAAATAGAGTCCTTTTTTGGATAGACAAAGTTGTGGTAGATATAATGCAGATTGCAAAATCTTTGCATTCATTGAAGTTGATTTTTTTTTTGTTTGCGGCACATATGTGTGCATCTTTGGGGGGGGGGGGGAGGAATATATGAATTCGAATGACCCGTAAGAATGAGCTTGTTTTCCCGCTCATCAGAAATGTCTTTGAAGTTGTAATAGGTCTGCCCCCCTTTTAATGTCCAAAATGTACATAAGGTTTAATAAATTAAATTTTTTATGTGGCTGTGGTCCCTACACATGACTCGCGAATTCGACACTGCGTGCATAATCCCTAATAGCATAACTACAGTGTAGTTATTAATTTTGTCTTTTCATACATTGACATTGGAAACAAATTGAAAGAGGGGGTGGGATCAACATACAACAAATTTGACTAGCAAAAAAAGGGGGATTCGATATGTCCTTTGCCCAAACACGAAAATCCGATTCCGTGTGTTTACGTGGGGGGATTCTTTCAGCAGACGTTTCTTTCACGGAGGGGTGAAGACTCATGAATATATAATAGTCTACAATTCCTTTTTATTAGAAATGACTTTTACAAAAAGAATATTGCTCTTCTATCTGATTTATATTGAATCTATGTTATTTGTTTGACAAAAATTTTTCCGTTTTCCGTTCCGTTCCGCTTTCCGTTCCGCGTTTTAGCAACACCCACTACAAGGCCCCTCGGCTGTGGGTAAATTAATAATATAACAATAATATTATGTGCGAACTATCTTTATATCTACAAAACCACAATTCAGATTAGAATGAAATTCGGTACACACATAGCCATACACAAGGTCTATAAATAATATATTGAATAAAGTTTTTCTCCTTATTTATGACGTCACAATGTGAAAATGACGTCACTATGTTGGTCACTTGTGACGAAAAATGGTTGTTTCAGTCGAACTCGTTGAACAAACGACTGTACAATTTATTGTTTATCTTAGAAATCCCTCTGAAGTATCATATTATGATTTGTACACAGTTAATTAAGATAAATGAGCTCCTATAAATTTAATTAATGATTGCATTTATCGCTTTAGTGAAGGAAGGCAGATGGTTAAAAATGATACTTGTCATCTTGCCCAGTGAGAGAAGGTTTGAAAAGAGATGTGTTTTTTATTAAGCAATTTGCTATCAAAGACCTCCAATTTACACTTCGAAAAATAGTTTAATATTTGAACAATAACATAATTATTAAATACCTAGTAAGATATCGTTTACTTTAGATTTTAAACGTATTAGTTATGATAAAAAGGAAGCACACATTCTCTATCCACCTTGAAGAAAGGTCTCTCCCCAGACAGAAGATTTGTATTTAAATGGTCGCTATGCTTATTTTTGAAAAGGGTGTTCTTATCCAACCATTCTGTTGCCGAGATTTGACCATTTCTGACAAATGAACTGTTCTTGTCATAAAAATTAACTCACAAGGAAAGTAATATAAAACTCAGAAAAATCTTTCAACTTTTGTGACAGAACGCTGCAGAGGAGGTCACGTGACCGCCAATATCACGTCATTCGCGCATGCGCAGAACGGTGCATGATGTGCATTATATTCGGAGATGAATTTAAAACATAACAAGCAAATTCAAAGAATTGTGGTCCCCCGCTATCGGTGAGTTTGTGGGTGAGATGTTATTTTTTATGACATATTGTATCTAATATGAACACCCTATCATATGTCATTTATTTAGAAATTATCATTGAAGTTGATTGTTTTGAAGGATGAAAACCCTAATCCTGACCGTAAAAAACTTATGGCAAAAGTAAAAGTTTGTTTTAAAGTAGGACAACTCCAAGGTCAAGATCAAAGGGTCAAAGTTGTTAATATCCAATGAAAGGTCTTCTCGCAAGGACTACATATGTGAAGTATGAAAGTCCTAGCCCTTACCGTTCAAAAGTAATGGTCAAGGTTAAAGTTTTTTCATAAGTATGTAAATCTTAAAGGTCAAGGTCAAAAGGTCAAAGTTGTTGATATCCAATTAAAGGTCCTGCCACATATAATACGTATGTGAAATATGAAAGTCCTAGTATCTATCGTTCAAAAGTTGTGACCAAAGTTAAAGTTTCTTAAAAGTAGTTAAAACTCCAATGTCAAGGTCAAAGGGTGAAAGTTGTTGGTATCCAATAAAAGGTCTTCTCAGAAGGATTACATATGTGAAGTATGAAATCCCTAGCTCTCACCGTTCAAAAGTTATGGTCAAGTTTAAAGTTTATTTATCAGTACGTAAATCTCAGAGGTCAAGGTCAAGAGGTAAGGGCTGTTGGTATCCAATGAAAGGTTCTACCACAAAGAATACATATGTGGAAAAATATATATAAAAGTCCTACATGTAGTAGCTACTGTTTAAAAGTTGTGACCAAGGTTAAAGTTAAAAAAGTAGTTAACACTCCAAGGTCAAGGTCAAAGGATAAAAGTTGATATCCAATGGAAGGTCTTTTCACATGAATTACATTTGTGAAGTACGAAAGCCTTAGTTCTCACCGTTCAAAAGTTATGATCAAGGTTAAAGTTTTTTAATAAGTACGTGAAACTCCATGGTCAAGGTCAAAAGGTCAAGGTTGTTGGTATCCAATGATAGGTCTTGCCACAAAGAATACATATTTGAAATATGAAAGTCCTAGTATCTACCATTCAAAAGTTATGGCCAAAGTAAAAGTTTGGAATTTTTGTGTAAAAAGGGGGTTTAACTCCAAGGTCAAGGTCAAAAGGTCAAATTTGGTGGTACCCAAAGAAAGGTCTTCTCACAAGGAATACACATGTGAAATAAGAAAGTCATAAATTCACAAAATCAAAAGTTATGGGCAAGGTTAAAGTTTTTGTGACGGACAGACTGACGGACAGACAGACAGACGAATGAGATTTAATGTCCCCTCGCTTTCGCGAAAGCGGGGGACAATCAACATTGAAATCAAATATTGTTTCTTTTATAGAAGATATTCAATTAGTTCGCGAACGTTTTGATCACCCCTCGTATACAGTTACTATAATTATCGAAGAGTAAACTTGACTACATTTGGCTCAAGTACTTTTTTGGCAGGGAATTCCTTTTCTGGACAACGAAATATTGAAAATTATTTAAATGACCGAATTAATCGTATTTTATCATCAACTGTTTATTTCAATATTTATATTAAAAACGACCTCCCGTACATTTTACCTGTGTAAAAGTAAGCGTCGATTGTGAAAGTCAGCGCTTCTCGAAAAAGTC